CTTCGCACATTTATCACAAAAGACCTCAGACTGGACACGAGACTCGATTCCTGCTTCGTTTTTGTGAGGTCGCTAGTTCAAAGGTTATCGTGATTTCCCTCAGCTCCCAGAGACAAATTCCGGGATAGCACCTTAACATGTCACACGACAGCTTCCTTCCATAACCTTTCCAATCCATTATTCATTAACTAACATATCATTCTACGCCATATAACCTGAACTAAGGTAAACAAACCATAAATAAATAAGTGTAGCAAATAAATAAAAAATATATAAGAAAATGTTTGCCTTTCCATGAGTGTGATTTGCTCCGATTGAAGCAATAAAATCTCCATTGCACTCTATAACAAAGAAATTTCCTACAGAACAATTTGGTTTCCAGTCCCATGCCTTATCGATATTCCTGAGAACTCCAAACACTATAACAGTCTCCAACTGTACGCAACTGCCGGCTTCTCATTATGGAGGTTGTCATTTTGACAGTAATTACGGTATTGTGGGAGCACAATAACAAGATGGCTGACACAAGAGGGAAAGGAAATGTTTCAGAGAAATTCTCCCCCTCTCTGACTACGAGGAATTCTCACCCAGCTACAATGTAATGTCCCTATTTCCAATCATCCAACTCATAAGAGGAAATGAGAGGAATGAATTTGTCCGGGGTGTGCAGAAGAGAGAGAAGAAAGCGTTGGGAACAAGAATAAGTAGCGATGTAGAGGAGACGGCGATTTGTCATAAGTTGACGTCTGGAGCATGGAACAACTTGAGTACCCGGTGTGCCCGAGGGGGCTTAAGAAAACGAGTAATTAGAACATGCGATATGATTTCCAGCAAACTTCCAACCCAAGACCAACCCGCCTTTCCTCCTCCAGGCAAAAGGATAATGGGAACTGTTCGCTTGATTTATGGTGATTCCCCCCCCACCTCTTTCCTCACGTCCGTATCTCTCTCTCTCTCTCTCTCTGTTAGGCCTGTGCTTGAGACACGTCGCGAATGAGTTTTACGCTAAATAAATCTAGTATTGGAAAATGGACTACATTCAGGCCTTCTCCTTAAATAGTGAAGTTCGTTACCTTCCTTATTTAGTCGTCTCTAACACTAACTCCATGGAGCAGAATCCTTCCTCAGAAGTTAATCATCGCTCATCTGACCGGAAAATTCCACGTCTTTCATGGGACCCACTACACAGCGCAACAACCCAGAAGGCAGAAATCTTCGGACCCTAAGGTTCATTACCGTCTTCACAAGAAAGTGTCACTGGATACTATCCTGAACCAGCTGAATCCCGTCCACAGCCTCACACTCTTCTTTAAGATGTGCTTTAATATTATCTCATCCGGGCCTGCATCTCCTGAGAAATTCCTTCCGTTTAGAGATTTCTCGACTAGGGACTTGTGTGACTTTCTCATCTCACCCCTGCTTGATACATGTCCCGTCGATATGTTTCACCGCTATAATATTTGATGACATTCACTAAGATTCGCAATACAACCTTTCGAGTTTAGCTTTCGAAATGTAAATCTGTTAAATTATAACGGTAATTTGAGATATATCTCAGAATAATACATAGATAAATACCTCTTTAATGCATCATCCACTGCGTCACAGCAGTGGACACAACACGAAATACAGCATATTGCCACATGGTTTTAAAAATTCGCTTTATATTTCAGTCAATATTTCATATGCGAAACATCTTCTTGGCTACTTTCCTTCCGTAAAGAAAAAAGTTGGCTTATGAGACGGTCATCTGTGTAATATCCGAGGTTCTCACGGCGGTGAGGATGGCGTAGTTATTCTTCTAGTTTGCGACGCCGTTCAGACTCGAAGGTAGACACCAACGGATCGGAGCAATACTGTCTCCGAAAGGCTGGTGTCTACCTTCCAGCCTTCACGCCACTGAAACTTGGAGCAACATCGTCATTTGAACCACCTGACAGACTTTTAAGAAATTTGGTATGGACCTTATGACTTTGGAGGCAAACAATTCCTCGTACATTTTAGTTTCCTACAAGGAAATCGCAAGATTTTTCATAATGATGTAGAACAACAATATAACAGCTGTGCAAAATTTCCATTCTCATTCTGACAGGGATACCCAAAGCACCATTGGACTTAGGCATATGAAACATCACTTGTCCAAGTAGGTAATACCTATGCAGATATTTTAGCAGTCTTATATTCACTGAAGACAACGTATTCTGACTGACTGCTTCTTCATTTAAATTACTAAAATTACTAGCACACAATCGTGGTCCATACAAAGGTTATAAGTAGGCAGACGGATGAGAGAAATAGTTTTCGTTAGTGATAAATGACAAAATACATGCCCTACTACCATGCTATTTATTTGCAAAAACTGAGGAAAACAAAGTAAAATGTAGGTGGGATTTGAGGTTCTCAGGGCATCTCGCAGGAACATGCTTGTCTTCTGGGATATAACACCGTGTAGTCTGGTAGATACATACCGACATTTCAGAGGGTCTTATTGCCTCCAGCACTGGAATAACACAGTGAGTCCCTCTGAAGTGTCAGTCATGATCTACCAGACTAAATGCTCCAATATGCCATCTTCAAAAAGAACTCACATTGCAAAGGGATTCAAAAGCAAATGCCTCTCACTGTCTCGATTTAAAAGTATGTTGTTTTTATTTAGGTGGAAACTGAAATTAATCCTCATACTGAAAACTAAACAGCCAAATCCTTCTACAGAACGAAGCGCAAAATAGTATCAGAAGCCGATACTCATGTTGTGATTGAAGTGCTGAGATAAGGCCATGCAGAAGATTTGCTGACACACGTTTTAGGATACACTGTCTGCGTGTTATTAATATCAGTTTACAAACAATGTGTCAGTCAATTGATGGGGCGATCTAAGCAAACACGATTCAGTTGCAAATGCATCCGGCTGAATGCACACAGCAAAGCTGCGCAGAGCCGATAGTGCGTTGTGGGGAGGAGCTATTCCGGCAGGCGTGGGTGCTGATGAGATGTGACCGCATATTACAAGCAGCCGTGCATAATCACGTTCGTGACATGACACATATATGACCAAATTATGCTACACATCCTGTGGTTTCACGTTTGGTAAACTGAGTTTTTTTTTACATTTTGTCAACCCATCGTTTTTTGTTTGTGGTCGTGTGAGATTATAGAATACTCGGCTGCAAAATCCCTGCTGTATTATTCGGATAGTGATAATTTCAACAGAGAGAATTCGCCAAATTCGGGGTTGGTGTGTCTCTACTAGCTGTGTACAACATTTTGCTTGTTTATATGCGTATATGAGAAAATACCCAAATGGTGATAATATATTAAATAAATTTAAATCAGTTCCTCTAGGTTAGATTTAGCTAAATTTAGTTATTAAACACATTGCAGTAACATACTGAGTGCATTTGCGTCAGATCGGTTCGATAATTATTTAATAAAAGTCGAAGTAATTTATTATGCATGCTTTCAGTATATGCCTATTCATAAACTCTGTACATAAAATTTCGTATATAATCTTGTGAACTTGTGTTAATTCACATTACCGTTGTGTTAAGTAGATAAATAAATATAATTAGAATGGAATGTATATTTTAGTTTTTTAAATACGGTAGTCTAAATATATTCTGAATTTTAGCGGTGAACATACACAAAGAAAGCGCGTGCACAGTGTGTTTGATGAGATCTAGTTGGCGTTGGCGATGATGACTGAGCTAGCATCATTCCTCATGACTACGTGACTGTATAAGACATTCATCTACACGCTTGGCCTGTTTACACGCCAGCTAAGCACACATCCAACCCCTTGATGAGCGCTTATCCGATCGGAAAATTACTCAAGTCGTTATACAACACCTATACATATTAATAAGTCTTTTCTAATTATTGAAGATTTTCAAGTTTGTTTTCCTGTGTTCAGTGGCATATTGGATTTATTTAAGTCACTTTAAACTTCAGTAATTTGTAACATGCGGGATAAAGAAGAAGGTGTTTTAGATGCTCGGGCCGGTTCGACGTTTCTGAAAAAACGCTACCCGTTTTTAAGAACGTAGTATTCACTTTTCACAGTTTAGATATATTCTAATATGTTAAGCTATTTTTCCACCTGTCAAGGGCTAGTTTTATGGAACCAAAATATTCACATTCGCGTGAAAAGACCATAACTAAAGACCATCCTTACAACAAAATCTCTAGTTCTCTTTGGTCTACGTACAACAGACACATAGTTTCTTAGCATTTAAGCCTGTAACTAGCTAGCCAGTATTAACACATGCAAAGTAAATATTCACAATTACCAAACACAGACTAAAAGAAGTACAATTTGCAGATCTAAAATGTCTGTAATGTAGGAGAATTTGTGTTTACTACCTATACACCAATTTAGCTGGAACGCACTTAAGTCAAACTGAACAGTGTTGTTCAGGCAAGAAGTTTAATGGAAATTACGAAGACGCAGAAATTTAATTAACGGATTTAATAATATTAACCAACTAATGTATCGCAATGATACCCATCATGTCGAAGAATGTGTTTACAAAAATGTTTCTATTTGTATCCAAAATTTTCAGAGACGAGAAAAATAGATGGAAAACCTATCAGTCAACATTGTCTTTTAAAAACCTGTGTTAAGAAACATGGGCCATATTTTCACTATATTCTATTCTTTTTCAAGAAACAATGTTAAAATCTTGAGGTCTGAAGACCTCAAAGAGGATTGAATCCGCGTCCTCACTTGTTCCACGGTTGTCAGCCCAATAAACGTTCCTTACATATACCTTATGGTGACAGCGTACTGTTAGATTATAGCATACACAGTTTAATTACAAAATAACAGGTTCAATTCACGAAACATGTGTCGTGCACCAAATAACCTATGAAACTCTAAAACCGCAATAAAATTACAGTTTACCACTCTCTTAGGGCGTGCTACTTGCTGACATATCGTCATCACTGCAGATGATGTAAATTACATAGCATAACGTGTCCCCCATTTTATTACTGGTACTTACCACAAACACCGCACGGCCTGTCCCACTAAGCAAATAACAAACACTCGAATCGAAGAGAAGAGGACAAGAGAACATCAGCACGCGAGTGTACTTACAGGCTCAACCCACAGTACTAACTGAGCTGAATGAATATAACTTAGCTCGTTCATTACAGCCACACATCGAAGTCACCTGTTTCAATCATTTACGGCCTATAGGATTGGGTTCCTATAGGATTATACACTACCTGTTTCAGGAATGAATGAACAAAAAATAAAGAGATTTATTTTTCTAACCAGCCGATTTTACTCGCCGTCTGAGGCCCTGTTGCTTCCAGACCCATTCGGGGCAAGCACAGTGCACACGTCATTTTATTCTGTGTTGTCTTTTGTGGGCATAGATTCCCCATCAAAGGAGTCATACTAAATAAGCACAGTGCACACGTCATTTTATTCTGCGTTGTCTTTTGTGGGCATAGATCCCCCATCAAAGGAGTCATACTAAATGTCTAACGATTCATTATTTCAAAACTAATTCTGATTCAGAATAGTCCAGAAGGCCTAATCCATAAGTAATAAATAAAAACAATAATTTTCCTGGCCAGTTATACTCGTTGATATGCTATGTAACTGCTAGTAGTATTCTTTAATACAAAACCTGAATTTTCAAATCATCCAAATTATTTGGGCTCATTCTGTCATTCTTTTCGCTTGTTTTGTTTATTTAATTTTTCACAAGAGAGGTTTGTAATGTAACACGCAGACGGCCAGTTAGTATAACCAGAACATTCACGGAGTCATTTATTTTGGCGTCTTACAAAAGGAGGAAGGAGGAAGGAGAGGGAGATAAGTTAGTATGATACGCTCTGTGCAAGCTCTGCTAGTATCAACAGCAATTATCCGTTGTATGTGCAGGCGTTCAGAAGAATTAGTTCGGTAAATTATTGAATTTCAACAGGCGGCGGTCAAGGGTCGCAAAATAACTCAAATTCTATGTTAAATCAAACTGATAAGAAGTGTTGCCAAATAACAAACGAAACCAAAGTTTTACAAGCAAGCAAAAAGAAAAGAAACCAGACGGTTTATAGTGTATTAGTCAAATTCGTAGTTTAAGGTACATGAATTAATTCAGCAATACGTGATTAAAATCTTGTGACTCCCCACAAAGCCTACATCGGTACAAAATTAACTTCAGATAGAAAGAAAATTAATCACATGGATCACATCGGAGTGTTAGGTGAATGGGCTGTTAAATTACCTAAAATAATATTTAATTTAAATTTGATTTCCTTCTTTAAGGAATCTCCATAGAAATTATTTAGCTCAACGGAAAACTCTGTCTGAACACAACGACAGAATGGGGCTAAGTATCCGATATGCTCCCGCATCCTCACATCCGTTAGAAGTGGGCAGTGAGAAAATGAGCGATTCAGATTTTCGCCGTTTTCCATCAAACGCGTCGGGCTAATTAGCTGTCTTTGCAGAACTAAGGAAGCGTTCAAGCGACCGAAAGCAAAACACTAAAAATCACTGCTGCGTATCATGAACGCATAACACATTTCAGAATCTAGTTTTTGTGCACAGACAAAGCTCCAAACCTGTAAACTGGAATCTTTCTGAGACTAATCTGCCTACTAATGCTACGGTATGGGAACCCATATTGTGGAACAGATGACTGCGTCCTGAGAAAGCAGAATGAAGCTAACTACTGGTATAGATACATGCTAATTAGAACAGCTACCAAAGAATTAACTAATAGGCTACATGCTCGTTCACGGAACTAAAATATACATTACAATTCCAGGAATGCTAGCCACACTACAACGCCATCCAATTAGCTGTGAAATGGTATAAAGTCATGTTAAAGTTACAAGAAAACACTGTACTTTGGGGCAACCGAGACAGATGAACAATCTTGTTGTTCGGTCTGTCGTAGAATTTGTAACAATGTTTCACTTTTTAAACTGTTTTATTCATAGAATTTAGAAGTTAAGTTAAAATAAGAAATAATTACGAGGGCGAATACAATTATAAACTAAAAGGTACTTAAAGAAATAGGCTGTGAGGATGTATAATGGATTCCACCGGCTCACGAAATGACCCAATTGTGGACTATTACGAACACGACAATTAACCTAACTGATTTCGTTTAACAAGCTAAAGGCTAAGTAAGTTTTGGTGCAACGAAACGCGGGATCACACGACATTATGTTTTTTGTCCATTAACGTATTTAAAGACACTTTATTAACTGCGTTGAATGTGCATCGCAATAAATTAATGAGTTTTACCGACAGGAAAGCTTTTTGGACATTGCAAATTACCTAAAATATATTCGTAGCCTTACAGAAATTTACCGACGTTTTATAGGATGATGGAGGCTGTGCTCACCTCTGAAATGTCGGGGACTGTTACCAGACTGTATGGCGCAACAACCTAGAAGAAAAGCCGTCTTCATAATCTAGTCAGTCCTTAAATTAGGTGTTGTAAATTTAACTCTCACTAACAAATATGTAATCATTCGTATTAAATGTCAGATCAAGAAACAGCGTACCAGTCTGTTGGTATCCACAAGCAGAGCTCGAAGAACGATTGCAGTAATCCATGATGATGCTAAACTCCCAAAAGATACAGCACTTCGACACAGAACAAACAGGAACCTTGCAGGAAGTTACACTACTACATCGCTGCAAGGAGCGACTAGATAGGAGTCACCATTCGAATGTAAGAGACGTCAATCCTCTGTGGAACATTGGCTCACTCATCACAGTCAGACTAATAAAGAAAGGATATGTCAAGACAGACAAATTAAACGGTAAAAAAGAAGAAGAACTAAAGGAGAGGGGAGGAGAACAGGAACATGGCAAATGACAGTTTAAGTAATGTATACGTTCCCCATCGCAACACATCAGAACGCAATGGCATGATATTTTATTAGCAATTAGCAATGTACTACATCCTGTTACTCTTCCATTCAGATGTTATAATCACCACAATTATCATGTCATCATGCTATCAAATAAAAGGCTTAATATGCAACGTAATTTTCTCTCATGTTCGGAAATGACCGAAGAAGACAAACGGTGTCAGTGGGAGAAAAGGGGTCTAAGTAAAATGCTTGGGATTCCAAGATAACACGAGGACAACACTTTTAAAAACTACATATCCTCATTCCCTTTCTAACACAGACAAGCCCAAAATTTCAATAATGCCTAACATTTTCGAGAAAACAAGAATAGGCCCAATGTAAAACTTTCTGTCTCCTTACGATAATCTAATAAGATTATTGGATTTGTGTCCTGTAAACATAAAATTAGACAAATAGGAACAATTACTGATTACCATGCTAATTGCGTAAAAGACCTGCTACATAACTTTTAAATTGGATTTAGAAACGTATACAATGTAGTATTTTCTTTGCGGTACGGCCTATATTTTTAACTGTTACTCAGGTAAGCGTCAGCTTCAGAGGGTGAATCGGTTTCAGTTCTTAAAACTCACCTCATAAATTCCCACGGACGTATTGTTAGCAATGTGGCAACATCACTCTCAGTTACGAAATCGAAACCAAAGTTCAGACAGACATTAATAATTTCATTCTGCTAATTATTTAACTTAACACGACTTAAATAAATGCCCCTCTTTTTATAAACAAATTGTACAGAATTGGAGTTATGAGTTCAATCACAGATTAATGACATGGACGGATCACGGAGGAGATAAGATAAAAATTTTGTTGTAGAGTCTAAAGGGACGCGACTATTCGACAGACCTAGATGCAGATGGAAGGACAAAGAAGTAGGATATGAGGAAAAGAAGAAAGGCAGATAAGACCAATCCTAGTATTAAGGGCTAGCGCGCACCAGCTGTTTTCCTGCCGTAGCGGTAAAACTACCGCAACCGCGTATTCTTGTTGCCTGTGCACACGGACGGTGAAATAAACGCAGGAGGGTCCAGAAATATTCCTATTTAAATATCGCTATTTAACCCGTGTATACTGGCGACACCGTTAAGAGTTTTGTCTGAGGATATTATGACGCGGTAACAACAATTTTGTGTAACTGAACAATACGTCAACATTTTCATTACCAATGCAGTGCCATGTAGGTGTTAACGGTAAACGCACTGTGCCACATTCAGATGACAGAAGAATAGATGACGCCGTCTGAATCATCCGTTTGAAACTGTGCTACCTTGTGACCGAATAGCATATGGTACGCCTTATATACGTCTGTCGTCATTTCAAGTGTAATCCACCATCTTTGTTCTACCAAACAAAAGCTTTCGGCCACTCTTGATTTATTAAGGCAACTTTACCACATCTTTCGAAACAAAGAAGCTAGGAAATGCGTGAAAAACGATTTACTGTGGCCACATAATTTCAATTTCATTTCGATATTAAAATGGCCCCAATAATTTTGAGCCCATAAACATAATGAAATCTTTATAAACATAGACAATAAACAAACAGTGTTTGGCGTAACCGTAAACGACTGCAGTAAGAGACTGCAATTCTTGTAATGATATATTAAAGTGTTATAGCACTTGTCCAATTGAACTGAAACCTAGTCACTATAATTGTGGTACCACATTTATGATCCTGGCTGCCGAAATTCATACGTTGATTGCCGATTATAACATTCCGAAACCGGTAATTTATAAAATACATATTATTATTATTACTATGCTTCCATTCTAGAAGCTGTTGGTCTCCATATCCCTGCTCGGAATCTGAGAGATTTTTCTATGTTCAGTTTTAGCCCTTTGATCAAAAACAGTCCTTCTGCTAGATGCGCATCAGCTGCTAATGTCATCTGCAGGGATTTGGACATATTCGAGATGAAAATTGTCACACTTCTTCAATTTCTATAATAGTATAATTTACTTAATTGATTTAAATTATTTTTTACAAATATATTTAGTTACAATTTTCTTGTGTATTAACGTCCTTATTTTATATTCTGCTTGTTTTACCTTTTATGTTTTACTGTGTTCGTGTGCTCATCTCTTGTGCTGTATCTGTAATTGGCCTTCTGGCTGTTGATACAGCACACAAATAATAAAGAATTGAATTGAATTGAGTTATTATTATCATCATCATATATTTATACACCCATCCATAACATAAGAAATTAAAACTATTATTCTGCGCTTCTATTCTGAAAGCAGAAACATCTTTACACTAATTAAATGTAAAGTTAATTGAGCGGGCTGCTCTTTCGCTCCACCAATCAGTACCATCACATCCAACTCG